TCAGCACTGACCCTCCAACAGTGCGGCACTCCCTCAGCACTGACCCTGCAACAACAAGAAAGAGGGCACTGAACACATTGATTGTTATTCATGATCAATGTGATGGGAGGATGTATTTTGATTCGGGTGGCTTGATGGCTCAGTGGTTAACACTGCTGCCTCATATCCCAGGGGCCTGGGTTTGATTCCACTCTTGGGCGACTGTCTGTGTAGAATTTGCACATGCTCCCTGCATCTGTGTGGGTTTCCTCCAGGTGCTCTGGTTTCCTCGCACAGTCACAAAGATGTGCAGGCTCAGTGGATTGGCCATGCTAAATTGCCCATAGTGTTCAGGAATGTGTAGATTAGGTGGGTTTATAGGGTAATGGGTCTGGGTGGGATGCTCTGTGGGTCAGTGTGGACTTGTTGGGCCGAAGGGCCTGTTTCCACTCTGTAGGAATTCTCTGATCTATAATGTCAAATTTGTTCTTTTGCAACAGGCTCCATAGTTTTCCTCTTCAGGGCTATAAATTGAAATGGAACCTGGATTGCCATTGAAATTATAGGAGTGTTTCACAAGTTGAAAATCAATTACTGCATACTTATTAAGCTGTGCAATATAGTGTTGCTGTTTGAAGTATGAGAGGTTGAATTTGAGACTGAATGGCACAGTGAGGTAAGCAAATTCTGTCTGACAACAACTCACTTATGAGTTATGCTCTAAGTATCGTGGTGAGTGAGAGGAATATGCAGAGCCTGCAAATGGAAGACATCCAACTCTCCTACTTTCTCTCTCTCTATCTGGGAAAACTGAAATAAATCGAAAAAAGACCAGTGACTAACTGGTCAGACATCGAATTAGAGAGCAACCATCACCTCGAGACAATGACATGTCATCAATGTTAAAATTAAAAAGGACCGTGAGAAAATAACTGTCCACCTTTCAGTCTGGTGCTTTGATCTTCAAAGATAATACAGCGTGGAGCTGGTGAAACACAGCAGGCCAGGCAGCATCAGAGAAACAGGAAAGCTGACGTTTCCGGTCGGGGCCCTTCTTCAGAAATGGGGGAGGGGGAAGGGAGCTCTGAAATAAATAGAGAGAGGAGGGGTGGGGGTGGGGAAGGTAGGTGGGATGGTGATAGGCAGTGGTGGGGATTGGTCAATGAGGTGGGAGGAGCGGATAGGTGGGAGAAAAGACGGACAAGTCAAGGAGGCGGGGATGAGAGGGAGGGTTGGTCATGGGCTGAGGCTGGGGGTGGGAGATTTTGAAACTGGTAAAGGCCACATTAAGACCATTGAGTTGTAGGCTCCCAAGGCGGAATATGAGGTGCTGCTTCTCCAGTTTTCAGGTGGTGTCATTGTGACACTGGAGCTGGCCCAGGATGGACATGTCATCCAGGGAGTGGGAGGGGGAGTTGAAATGGTTCACGACTGGAAGGTGTTGTTGTTTGTCGAAACAGAACACAGGCGCTCTACAAAGCCGTCTCCGAGCCTCCACTTGGTCTCACCGATGTAGAGGAGGCCACATTGGAGCAGCAAATGCAGTAGACTACATTAGCGAATGTGCAGGTGAACATCTGTCTGATATGGAAGGCTTTTTTGGATCCTTGGATGGAGGTGAGGGGGGAGATGTAGGGGCAGGTGTAGCACTTCCTGCGGTTGCAGGGAAAGGTGCCGGGGGTGGTGGGGCTAGTGGGGAATGTGGAGCAGATGAGGATCCTCCCACCTCACTGACCAATCCCCACCACTGCCTACCTGCACTCACCTATCACCATCCCACCAACATCCCCAGCCCCACCCCTCCTCTCTCTATTTATTTCAGAACGCCCTTCCCCCTCCCCCAATTTCTGAAGAAGGGTCCCGAACCAACATGTCAGCTTTCCTGTTCCTCTGATGCTGCCTGGCTTGCTGTGTTCCTCCAGCTCCACACTGTGTTATCTCTGACTCCAGCATCAGCAGTTCTTACTATGTCTTTTGATCTTCAAAGTCTCCTTTACTCTGTCTCTTTTGTTTTGCATCATTGTCTTTTGTGAAACTGTCTGTCTTTTGTCTGTCTTAATTCTGAACGTGTGTGTGTGTGTGTGTGTGTGTGTATGTGTGTGCGTGCGTGCGCGCGCAAGTGTGATTATTTGGAGGTTCTGAAGAAGTACAATTTACAATATAATATAAACATGGTATAAATTCCTTCATTCCAGTCAGTCAGGTAAATTTGTGGTCTCATTGCAATCTTATACTTTTTGTGAATATTTTGTGAACAGTGGGGCACAAATGTCAGCTCATTCTGCACTGTGGGTGTCCCTTGATCAGATGGGCTGCAGGTCACCAGCATCTTCTCAGGAGCAATTAGGGATGAACAATAAATGCTGGCCTAGCCAGCGACACCCATGGCCCGTGAATGAGTTTTTTTTTAAAAAAGAAAGCTTTTGTTAACTTTCAAATGACCTTAGGCAAATACTGACCTGACCTACCATCAGGCTGGATTTCCAATAGCCTCTGTAAGGCCCTGCCCTCTTGAACGTCTGCTACAGAACAGTTTATCCACTTTAACAGTTTGCCTCCTCTGATGGTGAGAGTGTTGGTCACCAGGGAACCGGTCGTGACTGATTGTCTCGTAGATCCTGTCCGATCCCATCTCTCCAATGCTCCCACTGGGAACAGCCCATGTGATGTTAACAGTGGAGTTTATCTGCACCAGACAGAGGCAGATGATGTTGGTCTGATACCGGGTGCACCTGGACTCTGGCAATATGACAGCACCATCTGTGAGCACAGTAAAAACCAAAGTGAGCTCAGAGGGACACCGTGGTATTGCAGTAATGTCACTGGGCTAGAAACCCAGCCGAACTCACTAACACTGGAGTGTTGTTCAAGAACAACCAAGAGGGCTTCTTCAATTTAAATTCACATATCGTTATTCTCAGGGAGAATGATCGTGTACCTGATATTCCTTATTGTCCAAATCCATCTGGTTCCCATTGCGATAAATGCCAAGATGCCATCTACCTTCATTATCATAGAAACGTTGAGAAGAGGAAAAGGAGTAGCCATTTGGACCCGAAGCCTACTCGCCATTCTGTACGATAGTGGCTGATCATCCAACTCAATGCCCTCTTCCTGCTTTCTCTCTCCATACCCTTTGATCCTTTTGAGCCCGAGAACTCCACCTAACTCCTTCTTATAAACATTTAATGTTTTGGCCTTAACTGCTTTCTATGGTGGAAAATTCCACAGGCTCAACAGGGTGGCATGGTGGCTCAGTGGTTAGCACTGCTGCCTCACAGCGTCAGGGACCCGGGTTCAATTCCATCCTCAGCCGACTGTCTGTGTGGAGTTTACACATTTCCCCCGTGTCCGTGTGGGTTTCCTCCCACAGTCCAAACCGGTGCAGGCTAGGTGGATTGGCCATGCTAAATTGCCCGTAGTGTTCAGGGATGTGTAGATTAGGTGGGTTTATAGTGGAATGGGTCTGGGCAGGATGCTGTGTGGGTCGGTGTGGACTTATTGGGCTGAAGGGCCTGTTTCCACATTGTAGGGATTCTATGATCTGTGATCTCAACACTCTCTGGGGGAAGATATTTCTTCTCATCTCACTAAATGACCAATCCTGTATCCATAAACTATGATTCCCCCAGTTCTAGACTGTCTGGTGTTTGAGAATATCCTTCTTGTCTAGTCCTGTTAAAATTTCATAGGTTTCCATGAGATCCATGACATTGTTCTGAATGTCAGTGAATATATTCCTAACCAATCTAATCTCTCTTCATACATCAGTCCTGGCACCCCAGGAATCAGTCTGGTAAACCTTCGCAGCACTCCCTCCATCACCAGAATATCCTTCCTCAGGTAAGGAGACCAAAACTGTGCACAATACTCCATTGTGTACAGTTTTGGTCTCATGTGGTCTCATCAAAGCCCTGTACAATTACAGTAAAACATCTGTGCTCCAAATCTCTTGCTATGAAGAAGAGGAGGCCATTTGCCTTTTTCACTGCTGGCTGCACCTATGTGCTTCTTTGCCGCAGATACCCGCTAATATTATGTGACTTTTGGAATGATATGTTCATCATTCAAGAGAGCATTAAAACTTCTGAATGACAGAATAATAAAATACAAGACATTTGATCATCCTGAAGCTTCAAGAAGGTACACTATTGTGTTAAAGCCCTAATTAAGAGTACTCACATTCTGTGGGAATTTGGACGGGGACAGACTGTGAGCTGCCCAGGCTGTTTGTTGCTACACAGTAGTACGAGACTTCCACCTCAAATCCATAAGGAACGGTGATAGTTTGACCAGATAATTTCAGATCAGTGACGTTTCCTTGGGAGATCTTGAACCAGTTGAATCTGTGGACTGCTGGATTCCCATCACTGGAACAACTTAGAGAAACAGTCTTTCCTTTTCCTGTTGTCATTCTGACAGACGTATTGCGAGAAGAATCTTTCAAATACAAAATTATCAACACATTAAACACTGAGCTAAAGGAAGGAGTGTGATAGAATACTCCCCACATGCCTGGATGGGTACAGCTCCAACGACACTCAAGAAGTTCAACACCATCCAGGACAAAGCACCACATCCATAAACATTTGCTCCCTCCACCTCTGATGATCAGTAGCAGCAGTGAGTACCATCTACAAGATGCACTGCAGAAATTCCACAAGGCACTTTCGACAGCACCATCCAAGCCCACGACTACTTGCATATAGAAGGACAAGGGCAGCAGATATATAGGAACCTCACCCCTGCAAGTTCTTCACTAGTTCACTCACCATCCTGACTTGGAAATATATCGCTGTTCCTTCCATGTCACTGGGACAAAACCTTGAAACTAACCACCCCTGTCCTGTCAATTTAGAGAATTTGCAGAATTGTTACAATTCAGAAAGAGGCCATTCAGCCCATCGTATTAACACTGTCTCTCCAAAAGAATTAGTGTCAATCTCCTGCCTTTTATCTGTCACGCAGTAGATTGTGTCTATTTAAATAAACATCCAATTTCCTCTCCAATGCCTCAATTTAACATGCCTTCATCATAATTTCAGATAGTGCATTCCAGACCTGAATGTCTCTCTGTGTTAAAAAGGTTTTCTTCGATTCACATTTGCTTCTTTTGCAAAACACTGTCAAACTGTTGCCCTAATTTCTCCCTCTGTTAATGAGTGTGAACAGTTTCTAACCTTCCACTCTGTCCAGACGACTCATGAGTTTCCCCTCAGCCATCCCCTCTCCAAGGAGAACAATCCCAACATCTCCAATCTATCCTCAACTCTGATGTTCCTATTACCATCCCTGACACTATTCATGTAAATTGCTTCTGAACTTTCTCTCCAATGCATTCACATCTTCCATGTAATGTGCTGCCCACAATACTCCAGCTGAGGTCTAACACGTATTTTGTACAAGTTCAGCATCATCTCCTTGCTATTGTACTCTATCCCCCTGTTAATAAAACCCAGCACACTGTCCTTGAACTGCTCTCCCCACCTGTCCTGCCACCTTCAATGCCCCGTACATACTTTTACCCTTTATTTAATCCATTCATGTCCTTTATACCAAAGTGTATCTGTAAATCAACGTATATACCTTATACTTCTCCTCACTGTACCTCATCTGTCACTAACTCCACCTAACCGTGAACTTAACCATCACCAAAACTGAAGTAACCCATTGAACTTATTCGGGGCTATCTTCTACTCATGGGCCCTTCATTCTGGTCTCACAGATCCCCACAACTGTATACATCTTCTCCATGTCTCCCTGATTGAAATCCCTTCAGAATTTTAAAGAACTTGAACAGGTCACTCCTCACCTTCTTCGTTCTAGAGTTAACTGAAACATTAACACTCTGTCTCTCTCTCTCTCCACAGACGCTGTCAGACCTGCTCAATTTCTCCACAATTCTGTGTTTTCATATCATCCTCAGCCATCTCTTTTCTGGTGAAAAGAGACCCAGCCTTATTTTTTCCCCCTAATATTTATAACCTGTCAGTTCTGGAATCATTCTTTTCAATCCTGCACCCAATCTAAAGCCTCATTTCATACCATACTGCATCGTGTTCTATTTGAATGTACTTGATAATGATGAGCCAGTATCATTTTCCCATCTCCAACTGATCCTTGGGAATATGATGAAGATTCACTTTCTAGAGAAAAAATACTAAGCGTCTTGCTGGGGATGTTGCAGAAGGCAGTTAATTGTCAATAACATTGCTGTCCAGGTGAGGATGGCACATTTCAATTGGCTGAAGGGCCTGTTTCCATGTTATATGACTCTTTGACTTTGACATTAGTGAACCCGATAAGTCTGTACAATAATCGACAGTGGTTGTATGGTCATACCTTTTGACTCCAAATTTTTGTTGAATTCACATTTCACCTACTGACACAGTGGGTTTGAACCCCATGTCCCCCAGAGCATTAGCCTGGGGGCCTGGGTTATTAGACCAATGTCATTACCTGTACACCATCACCTTTCCTGCTTCAGTAAGGAGACTAGTGCTGCAAATGTGTTCAGGGCACCACGCAATTGTAACAACACCTCCTTAACCTTTATTCCCAATTCCCATTGCAACAGCCACCAACATCCCACTTGTATTCGAATGTGCTTACTGCACCTGAACACTGGCATTTATTTGTAACCCATGTACCAGGAATCATTTAAGAGAGCATTGCAAGTTGTGAATGACAGAAAACTGAATTACATGGCGTTTGGATCATCCTGAAGCTTCGCAAAGATATGAAATTCTTTTAAAACCAGGATTAAGAGTACTCACATTCTGTGGGAATTTGGACGGGGAGAGACTGTGAGCTGGCCAGGCTGTTTGTTGCTACACAGTAGTAGGAGATTTCCACCTCCAATGCATAAGGAACAGTGATAGTTTGACCAGACAATTTCAGACCAGCGACATTTCCTTGGGAGATCTTGAACCAGTTGAATCTGTGGACTGCTGGATTCCCATCACTGGAACAATTTAGAGAAACAGTCTTTCCTTTTCTTGTTGTCATTCTGACAGATGTATCATGAGGAGCATCTTTCAAATACAAAATTATCAACACATTAAACACTGAGTTCCACTTGCCTGGATTGGTGTAGCTCCAACAAAGCTCAAGAACATCAACATTATCCAGGACAAAGCTGCCCCTGCTTGATCGGCACCACATCCTCAAACACCCACTCCCTCCACCACCAGCGTTCTGTAGCAGCAGTGTGTACCATCTACAAGGTACACTGCTGAAATTCACTAAGTCTTCTTGGCAGCACCTTCCAAGCCCACGACTACTTGTGTCTAGAAGGACAAGGGCAGCAGATATGTAGGAATACCACCACCTGCAGGTTCCTCTCCAAGGCAATCACTATCCTGATTTGGAAATACATCATCTGGTGCCACTGGATCAAAATCCTGGAATTCCCTCCCAAATGGCATTGTTGATCTACATTCAGCACATAAACTGCAGAGGTTCAAGAAGGCTCATCACCACCTTCTCAAGGGTCAGTTAAGGATGGACAGTAAATTCTGGCCCAGCCAGCAACACCCACATTCAGTAAATGACTACACAAGAGAGTGAAGCTTAACCACTAGATTTCGATAGCAATTGAAAATAATCATAAGCTATAGACAACTTTAAGTTTAGCCTTTGTGTAAACTGTGCTGTTGCCTGACCCGTTGATAATTTTACAGAGAATTACAACCAGACTATACCACAGGAACATCCCCTCTGCTCCATGCTAGTGTTTCTGTCTCGTACCACCTGCTCCCAGCACCCCCCTCAGCATCCACCCACGTCACTACATCCTTCTCTCCATTTCTCCCTTGTATGTTTATCCAGCTTCCCTCAGTCCAATATTCACTTCAAACATTCCCTGTGGGAGCAAATCCCACATTCCTCCCCTACTCCCTGTGGGAGCGAGTCCCAATTCCCCCCCATCAACTCCCTATAGGAGCAAGTCCCACATTTCACTCCCCCCCACCAACTCCCTGTTAGAACAAGTCCTATATGCCTCCCCCAGATCCCTCTGGGAGCGAGTCCCATATTCTGCCCCCTCCTCACTTTCTTGGGAAGATGTTTCTCCTGAATTCCCTGTTGGATTTATCGGGGATTGTCTTCTATCGAGGGCCTCTCGTTCTGGTCTCCCCCCCACTAAAAGTGGAAACATCTTCTTTACATCTCCCTGATCGAAAGCCATTTCAGAATTTTAAAGACATCAATCAGCTCACCCATCAGATTCCTCTTTTCAAGGGAAAAGACCCTCAGACTGTTAGCCTCTCGCGATGGTTATAGCCTCTCAGTTCTGGGATTATCCTTTGTAAATCAGTACCTGATTTAATATAAGACCAACACCATTTGGATCACAGGCAGCAATGTTACCAATAACTTACATATCACACTCAAGGTGACTGAGTTGGACACTTTGTGGTTGGTTTGAGGGTAGTGACATGTACAGCGGACAGTTTGACGGTGATGCGTGTATGAAGGGTTAAAGGTCAGCACTGCGGTAATCTTGCCCCCCCTCTCTCTGGTGTCACTGACTGAGGAGGATGGCAATTGACTCCAAGTCAGTTTGGGATGGTTATCAGGGCAGGTGTGGAGGGCTTTACAGATGATATATGCCGATGTCCCTTCCTGCAAAACCCTTGGGAATAACATCTCGGGATGGTCAGGAGCATCTGTAAAATGGAAAGAGCCAGATGTTAGCAAGCATTGGAAAGGAGATCAGGTTGATTCTATGGTTTTACATCAGAATCTGGACTCCCAAAATCTCTGGGACATTCGGCTGTTCCGCTCCATGCTGGCTGGCTCTGAGGAGAAATCCAGTTAGTCCCATTCTCCTGAGATAACAAGATGTGGAGCTGGATGAACACAGCAGGCCAAGCAGCATCAGAGGAGCAGGAAGGCTGATATTTCGGGCCTAGACCCTTCTTCAGAAAAGGGAGAGGGGGAGGGGGTTCTGAAAAAAAAGGGGGGGGGGGGGGAGGCGGATAGAAGATGGAGAGAGGAGAAGATACGTGGAGAGGAGACAGACAGGTCAAAGAGGCGGGGATGGAGCGAGTAAAGGTGAGTGTACGTGGGGAGGTAGGGAGGAGATAGGTGAGTCCAGGGGGACGGACAGGTCAAGGGGGCGAGATGAGGTTAGTAGGAAGGAGATAGGGGTGGGGCTTGAGGTGGGAGGAGGGGATAGGTGGGAGGAAGGACAGGTTAGGGAGGCGGGGACGAGCTGGGCTGGTTTTGGGATGCGGTAGGGGGAGGGGAGATTTTGAAGCTTGTGAAATCCACATTGATACCGTTGGGCTGCAGGGTTCCCAAGCAGAATATGAGTTGCTGTTCCTGCAACCTTCAGGTGGCATCGTTGTGGCACTGCAGGAGGCCCAGGATGGACATGTCGTCTGAGGAATGGGAGGGGGAGTTGAAAAGGTTCGTGACTGGGAGATGCAGTTGTTTAGTGCGAACCGAGCGTAGGCGTTCTGTAAAGTGGTCCCCAAACCTCTGCTTGGTTTCCCCGATGTAAAGGTGGAGAGGGAAAAATCCGACCCCACCACCAAAGACATTTTTCCCTCCCCACCCTTATCTGCTTTCCGGAGGGACAACTCTCTCCGTGACTCCCTTGTCCGCTCCACACTCCCCTCCAGCCACACCACACCTGGCACTTTTCCCTGCAACCGCAGGAAGTGCTACACCTGCCCCCACACCTCGCCCCCATCCCAGGCCCCAAGAAGACTTTCCGCATCAAGCAGATGTTCACCTGCACATCTGCTAATGTGGTATACTGCATCCGCTGTAGCCGGTGTGGCCTCCTCTACATCGGGGAAACCAAGCGGAGGCTTCGGGACAGCTTTTCAGAGCACCTACGCTCGGTTCGCATTACACAATTGCACCTCCCAGTCGTGAACCATTTCAACACCCCCTCCCATTCCTCAGACGACATGTCCATCCTGGGCCTCCTGCAGTGCCACAACGATGCTACCCGAAGGTTGCAGGAACAGCAACTCATATTACGCTTGGGAACCCTGCAGCCCAACGGTATCAATGTGGACTTCACAAGCCTCAAAATCTCCCCTCCCCCTACCGCATCCCAAAACCAGCCCAGCTCGTCCCCGCCTCCCTAACCTGTCCTTCCTCCCACCTATCCCCTCCTCCCACCTCAAGCCCCACGCCCATCTCCTTCCTACTAACCTCATCTTGCCCCCCTGACCTGTCCATCCTGCTTGGACTCACCTACCTCCTCCCTACCTCCCCACCTACACTCACCTTTACTGGCTCCATCCCCACCTCTTTGACCTGTCTGTCTCCTCTCCACCTATCTTCTCCTCTATCCATCTTCTATCCGCCTCCCCCTCTCTCCCTATTTATTTCAGAACCCCCTCCCCCTCCCCCATTTCTGAAGAAGGGTCTAGGCCCGAAACATCAGTCTTCCTGCTCCTCTGATGCTGCTTGGCCTGCTGTGTTCATCCAGCTTCACACCTTGTTATCTCAGATTCTCCAGCATCTGCAGTTCCTACTGTCTCAGTCCCATTCTCCTGCTCACTTCTCATTGTCCGTTGATTTATTTCCCTCCAATGTCCATCCAATTTCCCTTTGGAATCACTGACCACATCCATTTCCACCACATTTCACAGGCACCGTGTTCCAGATCATAGTGGTAGGTGATGGCCTAGTTGTATTATTGCTGGACTGTTAATCCAGAAACCCAAATTACTCTGGGGATCAAGGTTCGAATCCCACCACAGCAGATGGTGGAATTTAATTCAAGAAAAAAAAATTGGAATTAAGATGCTGATGATGACCAACCATCTTGTTCACTCATGTCCTTTTTGGAAGGAATCTACCATCCTTACCTGGTCTGGCCTACATGTGATTCCAGACCCAGAGCAATGTGGTTGACTCTTAACTGCCTTCTGGACAATAAATGCTGGCCTAGCCAGTGACACCCTCATCCCTTGAATTAGCATATATTAAAGAAAATTACTGCTCTTAGAAGCATAGAAAAGATGAGCAGGTGTGGCCCATTCAGCCCTTCAAGCCTGCTGTGCTATTCAATAGGACCATGGCTGATCATCCAGCTCAGTCACCTGTTCTCTGCTTCCTCCCCAATACCTTTGATCCCTTTAGCCCTAAGAATTATATCTAACTCTATCTTGGAAATATTCAATGTTTTAGCTTCAACCACTTTCTGTGGCAGAGAATTCCACAGGCTCCCCACTCTCTGGATGCAGACATTTTTCCTCATCTAAGACCTCAATGGCCTAGCCTGTATCCTTAGACTATGACTCCTGGTTCTAGACTGCCCTGGTCATTGGGAACATCCTTTCTGTGTTTACCCTGTCTACTCCTGTTAGAATTTTATAATTTTCTATGATATACCCCCACTTCATTGTTCTAAACTCCTGTCTTTCCTCACAATCCCAGCTCTGTATCTCTGCCCCAAAATCTTCAATCTGTCTCCCTTGGTCTTTGTATCATCAGTGAATGGGAACAGCTGTGGTTTGTTTTCCTGATCTAAGCCTGTCCCCATCTGCTCCACCTCAGTCAGACTCCTTCAATCTCCTTCACTCTGGGGAACAGCCCCAACTGCTCCAACCGAACCCTGTCACTAAAATCCCTGCTCCTAGGAACCATTCAGGTCAATCTCTCATGCACCATTTCAAGAGCCTTTACATCTTTGCTGCGGTGCCAGGGAACACAGCTCAGTATTGGAGTGGAGCCTGAACCATCCATCTCTCTGCACTCCCCTCACATGTTCAGGTTCAAAACAGAAGGGAGACATGTGTTGTTTGAATCGTTTTATCAACGTACCCTTTCATGATGGCTAGGCCTCTCTGTCTGACTACACTTTACAAATTGTTTGCGGCCCACGTTCTTTCATTGCTGGTCCTATCATAGTATGTCCTTCCACATTTCTCTTCACTGTACTGCATCTTCCATGCCTCTGCCCAGGTCACCGCTCTCTTGCACAGCTCATCTTGAAGCTCTCCTCCTGATGGCCAACCACATTGGCAAGGTCTACATGATTCTGGAACCTTCAAAACTGAATGATAAATGTATCCAAACTACAAGAGTCTCTCCAGTTCTGAACCTACAAGTGCCTCCACACTGACCTCCTCTGCTTCAAATGCAGAAATGTTCAAAAAGTGGGAATCAATATGTCGGGCAATTTCTAGACACATTTACAGACCTGTCAATAACGTAGCACTAAATCTGTCTGACCCTCCGACTCTGCAGGATTCCCTCAGCACTGACCCTCCGACAGTGTGGCACTCCCTCAATACTGACCACTTGACCATGCCATGCTCCTTCAGTACTGACCCTCCAACAGTGCAGAACCTCTTCCATACTCACCCTCCGAGTGCTGCACCCTGTGAGCACACCAGTTTGAAGTTCATGCTGCTATCTCCTGCAGTGAGGCCTGAACCCACAACCTTCAGACTGAGAGGTATGACCCATACCACCTTGGACTGTGTGATAGTCAGAGAGACTGGGACTTACCTAAAACTTCTAGTTTTACTGGCGTTTGAAAGGTGTGGTCTTCGAATCCCTCCACATCGACATAAAAGTAATAGTTGTCACTGTCTTCAGGTCTGAGGTTGTTAACCTTCAAGGTGCAGTCCTTCTCCTCCAAGTCTCCAATTATATCTGTACGTCCAACAAAGGTGGACATCTTATAATTGGGATCTTTGCTGTAGGCAACAGTGTATTTCCAGTAGTACCAGTATTTAAACCAAGCTCCCTGCACGGCCTTGTAAGGGTGGGATGGAAAGTCGAAGGTACAGGGTATAACCACACATGAACCACTGATGGCCTTCCGATCTGTAGTTGTCATTGCCCATTCTTCTGTTGCCACGCCTGACAAAGACAGAGAGAAGGAAGAATCATAGAATCCCTACAGTATGGAAACGGGCCCTTCGGCCCAACAAGTCCACACCGACCCTCAGACATCCCACCCAGACCCATGCCCTATAACCCACCTAATTTTCACATCCCTAAACACTACGGGCAATTTAGCATGGCCATTCCACCTAACCTGCACATTATTGGACTGTGGGAGGAAACCCACGCAGACACAGGGAGATTGTGCAAACTCCATACAGACAGTCGCCCGAGGGTGGAATCGAACCCAGGATACTGGTGCTGTGAGGCAGCAGTGCTAACACTGAGGCCCCGTGCCGCCCTAGTAGTAGAGAACATTACAGAGCCAATTATAACTGTATTGGGAAACAGAATGCAGAGGAACCTGGCTGACCTTTCACATGGATAACAGCCCATTAGCACGTATGAACGTCTGAGTCTGGAGCAGAAGTAGGCCATTCAGCCCTTTGAGCCTGTTCTGCCATTCAATAAGGTCATGCCTGATTTACTTGTGTTTAGAATTCCACATTCCTGTCTCTCCCCAATAACCTCTGATTTCCTGGCCCAACGAGAATCTATCCTCTGTTTTAAAAATATTCTCCACTGCCTTCTGAGACAGAGCTCCCAAAGTCACATAACCCTTTGTTTTAAAAAAGGCTTTAACACAGAGCCCCCTAGTTCTGGATTTGCCCCTATCAGGGTACATCCTTGGCCCATCCAAGACCTGTCAGGATCTTATAAAGTGATGGTCTTTTGAGCCATATAAAAAGAGTTTATTCAGATTTAATGGCTAAATTAAAGCAGGTTAAAGGGTGTCAGCCCCTGGAAGAGGCACTGTTACAAAAATTTCAAAATGGAATTGAACTAAATTGAATGCAGTGTTGTTTCATTGGAGATGAATAATGCACTCCTTCCCCAGCTGTAGTTATCACAGTTAACCTGTAGTATAGCTGTGGAGTCTGTCTTTATGTACTTCATGGGAAGGCAAACACAATGTCATGCTTTATTTGAAAAGGGATGGAGTTTAATCATCTTGCTGCGTACCTCAGTTACATGCTTGACTCAATATTTTAGGACAGACAGATAGCTTCAAACCAATCTGTTCAGGTATGCTATAATGCACCACCTGAGCAGGTGGGATGTGAACCCAGGCCTCCTAGCTCAGAGATAGGGACTCTACCCCTGCATCACAAGAGCTCCCTGGTGCTTATGGAGGAGTAGATCTGCACTGAGTCTATGTTGAGCAGGTTGGACTCAATCCCATTGGGGTTAAACATGGGGATATCTGACTGAGACATGAGTGGAGGATAAATGAATTGCTCCCCTCCTGGTGAAACTCCTTAAAGTAGCATGTTGCTTTACCGAGTTGTAGGCGCTATAAAAATGCACTTGAACGTACTCTCTCCATAGCTCTGCTCCTAGTGAGAATCTACAAACCAGCCGTCTGTTTTAGACACCAAGCTAACACCCTCAGCCCCAAAGCCTCTTTCTATCTCAGACTGTAATCTTTTGCCCTTCCCAAGACACCACCAACCTCCGAGGGGGAGTACGGAGGGAGATTTCACAGGATGGCCCGGGGTTTGGGGGATGGTGAGGGGAGTTTCAGTTCACATGGGGATAGACCAGGAGAGGATGGGATCGATCCCCATACAGCAGAAAAGATGAACGGGGAGATTGAATCAGGCCATTGAATTGAATTGCTGCACTGTCGGAGGGTCCATACTGAGGGAGCGCCGCACTGTTGGAGGGTCAGTGCTGAGGGAGTGCCGCAATGTTGGAGGGTCAGTGCTGAGGGAGTGCCGCACTGTCAGAGGGTCAGTACTGAGGGACTGCCGCAATGTCAGAGGGTCAGTGCTGAGGGAGTGCCACAATGTCGGAGGGTCAGTGCTGAGGCAGTGCCGCAATGTCGGAGGGTCAGTGCTGAGGGAGTGCCGCACTGTCGGAGGGTCAGTGCTGAGGGAGCGCCGCACTGTCGGAGGGTCAGTGCTGAGGTTTGCAGCACTGTCGGAGGGTCAGTGCTGAGGGAGCGCTGCACTGTCGGAGGGTCAGTACTGAGGGAGTGCCGCACTGTCGGAGGGTCAGTGCTGAGGGAGTGCCGCAATGTCGGAGCGTCATCGTTCAGGGAGTGCCACACTTTCCGAAGGTCAGTGACCATGTGCAGAAACATGCCAATCTGGGGAACATCTGATGATGTTGTGCAAACCAAATACAGTTTCTCAGTGTTCATCAATTGTGCGGAGAATTTACACATTTGTGAAAGGTGGGGGGTGGAGAAGGTAGTATAAATCAAGGTCACAAATAATAGGCATTCTGAGGAAGAGTCATATTGGATACAAAATATTAACTCTGTTTCTCTGTCCAGGAATAGAACTGGACCTGTTGAGTTTCTCCAGTACTTTCTGCTTAACTTTCATAAGAAATACAAGCAGGAGTAGGCCATTCAGCCCCTCCAGCCTGACCCATTAACCGATAAGTTGATCTGATTGTGAACGGTACTCCACTTTCCTGCCTGATCCCTCTAATGCCTTGACTTCCTTAGCAATCAAAACTCTCCCTCTCTCAGCATTGAATATATCAAGTGACCCAACTGCAACCACTCTCAGTTGAGGAGATTTCCAAAGACTCAAAATTCTTACTCATTTCAGTCTAAAAAGGCAGATCCACTCCCTCCACCACTGACGCTCAGTAGCAGCAATGTTTACCATCTGCAATTCACACTGAAGAAATTCACCAAAGATCTCAGACAGCACCTTCCAGACCCACAACTACCTCCATCTAGAAGGACAAGGGCAGCAGATACATGGGAACACCACCACTTGCAAGTTCCCCTCCAAGCCACTCAGCCCCAAGCTATTTCACGCTCACTCTCTGTTTCTTCCTCTATCTCTCTCTCTCTCGGTGATATAATTAATCTACTGAGGACCCCTTGGAAGTCATTGCCGTCAATTGGGTAATATTGGCAGTTGGGAATCACTTTGGATCTTCATTGTCCGAACAATCTCTTTGGACCCTCTTTGTCGAAAGGATCTCTCTGGGTCTTCATTGTCTGAGGAATGTATTTGGACCTCCATTGTCTAAGGGATCTGTTTGAATCCTCATTATCTGGGGATCTTTTTGCATTGTTATTGTTTAAGGGATCCCTTTGGATTCCCTTTGTCTGAGGGATTTCTTTTGGTCCTCACTGACTAAGTGTCCCTTTAAATCATCAGTATCTATGGGATCTCTTTGGATCCTTATTGTCTAAGGGGTTATATCAGTTCCAAGCCTCAAATTGCTGTATTGTTGATTCCAATGTAGCACTGTCTGCAGGCTCAGCACTGACCTTACTCCAGCAGACGCTATGAAACACTCCAGCAAAATGCCTCTAGCCTGAGCTCTGCACATGACACAGCTTTAAATAGATGGTCTCTCAGTTTTTGTGGTTCAAACGAAACTTGGCCCAACACAGAAGGCTGAATTCAGAAGCTAATTGTTTCCTGTCCATCTGGAATAACTACGTGTTCAGCAGGAAACTGATGCGTTGCCGGGAAGGAACGTAAATCACGGGATTGCAGAATTATACAGCACTAATAGAGACTGTTTCATCCAATTATGCCTGGGTCAGCTCTTTGGAAGATCCCTCAAATTAGTCCCCATGATCTCATCTTTACCCCACAGCACTGAAAATGTTCCCAGTTTTAATATTCCTCTAATTCCTGTTTTTCAAACTTCCTCTTCAATCTGATTCCACCTCCATCTCAGGCAGTGACTAATTGATCTCTGAAGCTGCAATGTTCTCAGCATCTGGTAAATTTATATTGTGCAGCAGATCAGAGGTAAACACGATTAATCTTATCTTGTCGATCTTAGATGTTGCTGTGGGACACTCTGACTAAAATCAGCAAAAGACACAAATTTCAGGCCATTGCTATCTGAGTCCTGGTTTCGAGATCCACTTCACCCTCCAGTTTTTATCCACGCTTCTCAAATGTCCCTGTATCCCACACCCACTGACCTACATTAGCGTCAACATCTCAGTTTGATGATTCTCTCCATCCTTTTCTAAACCCTCCACTCCCCCACTCCCTATCTCTGTAATCTTCATCAATCCTTGAACCCTCTGAGATCTCTTTGCTCCTACAATGCTGTTGTCAGACCGGGAGACAGTGTATATCAGTGAGCACATGTGGTAATGGGTGACCTGGACTTGGTATGAGATTGTACACTGGCTCACTGCTGAATTGTTTCCCAATCTGAGCTCAATAACAATGATCTTTTACAAAACAATTAACTGTAAATCTGCCTGAGCTGATGATGACATTACCTTGAAGAAATAAGAGCGGGAAGCAAGATCTCCTGATCATTGTCCACGCCAAATATTTCATCAGCTTCTCCCTCACAAGCTGTAAAAGAGAAAGGAGTTAATGAGACTCAGCTTTCGTCTGACAGCTCTCGCGAAATCAGAACTACTTTTAGACAGTGTCCTCACAGACTTCAGCTGTATGTCCAGATGTTACTAGTAAGTAGAACTGTTTCAAAGGCATCAATCATTGGAATCTGTTTTCAAAATTAAGACAAGAAATAGGAACATAAGAAGGCTATTTTCCGCCTCGAGCCTACTCCAACTTTCAATTGGATCATGGCTGATCCAACAATTCCCATTTCCACTTTCCTGTGTTTTGTCCGTAACCCTTGATTCCCTGACTGATAAAGAATCTATTCCATCCTTTGATGTACATTGCCCCCACAGCTGTCTGTGGCAGGAGTTCCAAAGACTCACAACCCTCTGAGAGAAGAAATTCTTCCTTATCTGAGTTTAAATTTGTGCCCCGTTATTCTGAGACTGTGCCCTCTGGTCCCAAACTCTCACATGATGTGAAACATCCACTCAGAATTTACCCTGTCAGGCCCCTTAATCCTATATGTTTAAATCAGATCACCTCTAATTCTTCTAAACTCCACTGAGTAGATTCCCAACCTGTTTAGTATTTAATCGTAAGACAATCCCTCCATACTGGGATCATCCTAGTCAATCATCTCTGATCTGCCTCCAATGAAATGATACCTTTAAAAATTGACAATACAAACAAAGGTCGATGTTGGTCATTGAAGTGAATTCCAACCATTATGTTACTTATCCAGGACCTGCCTGACACTTCACCTGGGGACTAAGTGCCGAGATGCTCTGCTTGGGCTGAATGTAATTTTCCTTTGCTGTTCTAGTGTTTTTAATTAGAAAGGGCTGACATACCAAGTCAAAATGAGGAAGTAGGAAGCCCCGGATAAATTCTATAACAGTTTGCAATATAAGCAAATTGTTGACCCATGTGAACTGAACTCGGACTTTGGTAGCTGTTCACATGGATTATCTACCCTGGTCCCAAGACCAGAAACTTCAATGCCATGATCCAGGATGACAATCCACAAAGGCTATTTTAATATTTATCCACAGGATGCAGACATCACTGCTTGTCCCTAACTGCCCTGGTGGAGGTGCTGTCCATGTGCTGTAGGTAGACCTGTTAGAGTGGGAGACCCAGGATTTTGACAGTGACACTGAAGGAACGGCAAAATATCACCAAATAAATATGGCGAGTGATTCTGTGTCCATAAGAAATAGGAACAGGATGAGGCCATTTGTCACAGCCATTCAAAAAGACACGGCTGATCACACATTCCTCAGATCCACTTTACTGCCACTTCCCCGAGTAGCTTCGGAGGGGAACATGCAGGGAATGGTGTTCCCATGTATTTGCTGCTGTTGTCCTTTCACATGCTGTCTAAGGAGCCCTGGTGCAAACTAAGGGAATGCTGCATCAGTGCAGTGGAAACATAACTTTGGTGGGTCAGTACTGGGGGAATGTCGCAATGTTGGACAGTCAGTGCTGAGGGAGTTAAAATTGAATCAGAGATAGTAGGAACTGCAGATGCTGGAGAATCCGAGACAACAAGGTGCAGGGCTGGATGAACACAGCAGGCCAAGCAGCATCATAGGAGCAGAAGCTGAGGGAGTGCTGTATTGTTGGAGTATCAGTGTTCAGGGAGTGTCACACTGTCGGAGGGTCAGCAAAAAGACACGACCAATACTCACTCGTCTCCATTCATACGGATAAGGAGAACCACCAGTTTGATTGGGGAAACACCAGGATCCTAGGACAGGCCAAACAGAAACAAGCACAGGAATTCCTAGAGGCTTGGTTCTCTACCAAGAAGTCCATCAACAAACACATGGAACTAGATCCTATATATACACCACTGCGAAGGAAAACGGGAAATGAGGTGATCAAATCCAACGGACCCCAGAGTTTAAATACCAGGCAGGAAAACACAACAGCACTTCATCGGAGGCTGCAGTGATGATGTTACCCAGCAAGGTAATGAAATGTCTGCAAACTAACGAACCAACTCGGCGAGTGAACCAACCACAGCATCCACAACCCAAGCTATTCATGAACCTTAGAGACCTACGGGTGAAGTATGCTCAAATTGGCCTGGAAGTGGGAAAACTACGCCAAACAACAGAGTGCTATCCGCGAGCAACTCTACTTCTTACATGGATGCCCTCAGGAACCAGGTATTACCGCGCAGTCTGAGATACAAACCACCCCATCAACAACCCACATGCACATAGGACAGCAGAATACAATGGCTGCAGAATTGTAAAGGTAATGATCAATGATGCACTTAGCCAACTCCATAGGTGTGACAGAGAAATTACACGCCAAAAAACCCTATTCCTAGACGCTACCAACCTAGACTGGAAAAGAGACTTAGAACGAGCCATTAATGTTAGTCAACAGACAACAAGAACCAAGAAAAACACATACTGCAAGAATAATGAGCCAAACTAACCCACTTAAAAGACAACCATAGGCCAAACACTTGGATAAAAAACCTTTCAGACAGGAAACTAACAGACACAGAAAAAGCTCTTCTAATACATGGACTCAACTACAACCACAGAGACACTAACAAGACAGAACTTTTAGCCACACTAGAAGCCACACTGAAGACGAATGCCATCAATGAGGAAACACAACAAGCCATAAGACAGACAGTGGTCCCGGCACTAAGCAGAAGGAGCAAACTTGACACTCTCAACACATCAGGAAAGAAGGTCCTAGAAGACTGAGAAAAGACAAAAACATCATAATCCTACCAACGGACAAAGGGCGTATGACAGTAATACTAAACAAATGGGACTACCTCACTAAAGCACAGATACTACTAGCAAACACAAATACATACCTGCAAGTGCAAATAGACTCAACATCGCAACTGGGTAATAAAATAATCAACACACTAAAGAGACTCAAACAGACCAGAAAAATTAACAAAGCCGACTACCCAAAAATGAAACCTGAAGGGACAAACATCCCCCGATTCTATGGCCTCCCAAAAGTACACAAATCGGCAGTACCCCTCAGACCCATAGTCTCCCTCCCAGGCACACCAACATTCAAGTTAGCCAAGGAGTTACAGCGAAGACGAAAGCCCCTCTTCAGCAAGTCACCCCACTCAATCCACTCAGCCCAGGAGTTCCTCAAGTCCCTCAAAGATATAAGAATAGATGATGATGATACCATGTCAATCCTATGCCAACTGCTAACTCGAACCAAAGACCCCTTACCTGCTATGGACAGAACCAACACAATATACAAAATTCCATGCAAGGACTGTGACAAACATTACATTGGACAGACAGGAAGAAAATTGGCCACAAGAGTACATGAACACCAACCAGCAACAAAAAGATACGACCAATACTCACTCATCTCCATTCACACAGAGAAGGAGAACCATCAATTTGATTGGGACAACACCAGGATCCTAGGACAGGCCAAACAGAGACAAGGACAGGAATTTCTAGAGGCCTAGTTCTCCACCAAGAAGGCCATTAACAAACGTGTGTGTTTGTGTGTGTGTGAGAGTGGGTGGAGAAAGATTGTGTGTGTGTATGTGTGAGAGAGCGAGAGAGAGAGTGAAGAGGCTAGAGACAGAGAGAGTGTGTGTGAGGGGGGAGAGAGAAAGTGTATACGTGTGTATGTATGTATTTGTGAGGGGGGAGAGAGAGTGTGTGTGTGTCTGAGGAGGGGAGAGAAAGTGTGTTTGTGTGGGGGGGACGTAGTGAAAGAGAGAGTGAGTGTGTGAGAGAGGGGAGAGAGAGAGAGAGAAAGTGAGAGACACAGAGTGTGTGTGTGTGTGTGTGTGGGTGAGTGTATGTGTGTATGAGAGAGAAGGGGGCACAGAGAGAGAGTATGTGTTGGGGGGCAGAGAGAGAAGGAGAGGAGTGAGAGTGTGTGTGTGTATGAGAGAGAGAGGGCAGAGAGAGACAGTGTGTTGGAGGGCAGAGAGACAGAGAGAGGGTGCGTGTGTGTGAGACAGAGGAGTGAGAGAGAGTGAGTGCAAGTGTATGAGAGAGAGGCGGAGAGGGAGGGTGTGTGTGAGAGGGGTAGTGAGAGTGAGTGTGTGTGAGGTGGGGAAGGAGAGAGTGTGTATTTGTGTGTGTGTGAAAGTGAAGGGGGGTTACTGAGAGAGAGTGAGTATTTGAGTAAGAGAGAGGGAAGAGAGTGTTTATGTGTGTGAAGGAGAGAGATAGATTGTGCGTGTGTTGAGAGAGATTGAGTGAGGGAGGTGTGAGAGAGAGTGAGTGTGTGTGAGGGGGGGGAGAGAGCGATCGAAAGAGAGAGATGTGTTTGCGAAGGGGGAGAGAGTGTGTGTCTGAGAAGGGGGAGAGACAAAACGTGTCTGTGGGAGTGGGGGCCAGTGAGAGAGGGGGAGAGTGTATGTCTGTGAAGGGGAGAGAGAGACTGTGTGTGGACAGACAGTGAGTGAGCGAGAAAGTGAGTGTGTGTGAGGAGAGAGAGTGTGTGTGGCTGAGAAGGGGAAGAGAGAAAATGTGTGCTTGTGTATGGGGTGGTAATGAGAGAGAGAGCAAGTGTATTTGTGTTTCTTTATTCATTGACGGGTTGAGGGTGTTGCTGGTTAGGCAGCATCTCTTACCCATCCCTAATTGCCCAGAGGGCAGTTAGGAGTCAACCATGTTGCTGTGGGTCTGGAGTCACACGTAGGCCAGACCAGGTAAGGACGGCAGTTTCCTTCCCTAAAGGACAGTAGTGAACCAGATGGGTTTTTCCTCACAATCGACAATGGATTCACAGTCATCATTAGATTCTTAATCCAGATAATTATTGAATTCAAATTCCAACATCTGTTATGGCAGGATTTGAACCCAGGTCTCCCGGACATTATCTGGGTCTCTGGATTAACATACCAGTGATAATACCACTAGGCCATCATCTCCCCAAGTTTGTATGTGCGACGTTATACTCTTCTAGGGATTCACTCCATTCCTGTTATTTATACCTGACATACGCTTCCTTCTTTTTTTGACAGATCCTCA